GGTGATTCCTGCCCCTCTCCTCAGCCCTGGGGAGGCCCCACCTGGAGAACTGTGTCCAGTTCTGGGCTGCTCAGTACAAGAGAGACATGGCGCTCCTGGAGAGAGTCCAGCGGAGGGCTACAAAGATGATGAGGGGTCTGGGGCATCTCTCCTCTGAAGAAAGGCTGAGAGAGTTGGGCCTGTTCAGCCTGGAGAAGAGAAGACTGAGAGGGGATCTGATCAATGTGTACAAGTATCTGAAGGGAGGGTGTCAAGAGGATGGAGCCAGATTCTCCTCAGTGGTGCCCAGCGATAGAACAAGAGGCAACGGGCACAGACTGAAACACAGGAAGGTCCATCTGGACATGAGGAAAAACTTCTTGACTGGGAGGGTGACAGAGCGCTGGACCTGGTTGCCCAGAGAGGCTGTGGAGTCTCCTTCGCTGGAGATATTCAAAACCCGCCTGGACACAATCCTGGGCAATGTGCTCTAGAGGACCCTGCTTGAGCAGGGGGGTTGGACTAGATGATCTCCAGAAGTTCCTTCCAACCTCAACCATTCGGTGATTCTGTGGTTCTGTACTTTTTTTCTCGTCCTCTCCCCCCTCTTCCCTTGCTCTTTCCCAAGTTTTTGCAGTCGTATAGCGCTTTAGCCTGTTACTAAGCTGGAGAGCAGTGCGTGGAGCAGGGAGGAAGAGTGAAAGACACGTGGGGAGAAGTGCCAAGAGAAAAAGGATTATACCTTCTACAAAGTGCAGAAACTGTATGTTATTGCAGAGAAAACTGTATTTTCATGGGGATGAACCGTAGCTTTTCTGAGGGTGCAAATTATCTGTATGTTTTCAAAACATGAACGAACAAAAGTACTTTGAAGGCTGATGGGGCTTTTTGTTCACTTGGTCCTAATTATATATATATGTATATAAAGAGGACTTGGGGTGTCCCAAGAAAGAGCTGTGTTGTGTTGGGTAAAATAACTTTTAAAGCCAGAACCTGTGTATTTTTGTAGTCTGAAGCCTTCTGTTGAAACTGAAGGGATTTAGAGCTGGATTTCAGTTCTGCCTACAAAGAGCTTGATGTAAGTTGTAGGCAAATGAGGTGAATGGAAAAGTACAATAGATTCTGCTCTGTAGTTTTCACTGGAAGTTGGTGAGCAAGCTGGGAACTGTTGCTTTCACCTTCATGTTTACTACTGTGTTTGACAGGAAAAGGAAACTTCAAAATCACAGATTTTAGTTTTTACTTTTGCTTGATTATGAATTCCTTTTAACTGAAACACATTGATTGTCATTATTAGGAGGACCTTCGTGTAGATGGTCGTGGCTGTGAAGACTACAGGTGCGCTGAAGTAGAAACAGATGTTGTATCAAACACAAGTGGATCTGCAAGAGTGAAGCTGGTACGTAAATACATTAGGGATCCTGCATGTTGCCAATGAAGACTTCTGGGTTATGTGATTGCGGTTTTAAATTAAGCTGAAGCTATTGGGGGAGGGGGAGGAGTGTGCACCCACCCACCACTATCTGAAGCTATGGACCGTTAAGGTAATAATGAAGGGATATGTAATTTATTAATTCGGGCTGCTTCATTGACTTGAACTAACTTTTTGTAAAGTACATCTGGAAAGCCTTCCATGTGAAATAATCTACAATTTAATCTTGGAAGAAATGAAATCACTGTTGTGCCTAATCACTAGAAAAATAATTCTCTTCTTTTAGAGTGAAGCAAGGCTACTTCCAGCATGTTTTGACTTGGAAGAAAATATCCTTTGCAATGTTACAATGGTTCTGCAGATGTAACTATTCCCAGAACCGGAATGATAAAAGATTGCGGATATTCAGAGCGTCATCTTAACATAAAGAAGCTTATATGTATAATAAAAAATATTCGAAGAAACTTACTCAGGCTTAACATTGTTCTCTTAAAGTGTTTATTGTAAGAACTAATGTAACTTTAAGTTTGCTGTGATAGAATGATCAGCACAGATAACTGGAAGGTAAAATTGTGAGCTGGCTCTAGATGTCCAAATTAAAGAAGTAATTTTGTAATTACTTCTTTAGCATCTTTTGCAATTTGGACTATATTTTCGGTTGTATGTTGTGTTTTTGTTTTAACAGGGACACACTGATATTTTGGTAGGTGTAAAAGCTGAAATGGGAACACCAAAGTTGGAGAAACCAGATGAAGGCTACCTGGAATTCTTTGTTGACTGGTTAGTATGCTAAAAGAGAAGGAAATATATCTAATATTTGGAAAAAGTGGCTGATCAGACCTTACCATTCTTCTCAAGTTTGCATTTCAATTCCACCAGCCTGCTGTAAGGATCTGAGTAATAGAAATGTGTTATTTTACTGCTCTTATTAGTGGAAAGTGATCAGAAAATTACTTCAACTTCTGCAAAAAGTGAGCAAAACAGTAGGAATTAAAGGATGATACCAGGTTAAATAAAACCACCATGAATCGTGTAGCATCGCTACAGCTGGAAAAGATTAATGACTCAGTTACAGATCTATTTAACTTGACTTGATGATTATAATGCTAGTAGTCTCTATTGCGATGATAGAGTAGAGAAAATATTTTTCAAAAATGAAGTATTCCAGATATGGAATGTACTTCAATACAGATTGTACTTAAAACTGTATAAAGGATTTTGCTTGCTTTTGCTCTGAAAGCAATGTAAAAATAGTTAGAATTGCATTTTGTTGGGCATATAGTAACAGTTTAATCCTTGCTATATATTTCAGATGCAAAAGTTAATTAGAAAACTAATTTAGTGATCACGTTTCTCAGTGAATCAGTTTCATGAACTAAAAACAAATGTGTTTTTAATCCTGCTCATGGCTTTGTGCTGTAAATGGACTGCTGGTTATCCTTAGTCTTTATAGTGCTTGAATTATGAAGGAAGTTAGAGGAAAACTGAAAACATCTGTTTTCAAGTTGCTTTGAGATAGCATGGTAACGCCTTAATGTGATTACAGACGGTTTCCTGCCTGAAACCACAGCATCCAGCTCTTGCAGACTTCCTAAAGCTCTCCTTTGTGAAGTAATGTGCTTTGGGAACCTGCGTATGAAAGTCTTAGTGCTGACATGTTAGCTGTTCTGCGTGTGATTTAAAAAAAAAAAAAAAAAACTTTTTAACTCTGACATTAGACCAATATACAGATAGTAAACCTCAGGTGTAAGAGCTACTAAGTTAGCAAATATCTGGTAGTATTCCTGATCTAGGTGACTACATCTATCTTAATGTTTGTATGTCTCTATCATTATGCAAACCGATCAAAGAGTGCCTCTGTGCATTGCAAGATGCTGACTAACTGTGGAACCTTGTGGTTCATGGAGGTAAGAAGTTACCTGTGAATTAATACTTTGTCTATGACTACTGTTAGAGAAACATTGGACAAGATACTCTTCTCAAATGTGGCGCTGTTGTTAGAGGGGAGCTCAGTTTGACTGTGCATTAGAAAACTTGTTTATGGAACATTCTATATAGTACTTTCTTGGTCATGATGGATTCTATGTGAAGAAAGTCCAAGGCGAAAGTTTTAGCACTGCTCCTCTACCTTGTGTTAGTATCATTCTGTTACTCAGCAGTGCTTGTTTGAGCTAGGTGCCGGCAATAATCTCTCTCGGTTTGGCATGCAAGTAGTACTGTTATTGGTCAGCAGGGACGCTCAAACAACTGGTTTGTGGCGTTATGTCATTTCTGTGATGCCAATTTCATATACAAATGAATATTAGAAAAACTTTAACTCGTTAGTGTTAGGTTGCATTTTGTGATTGGTAGTCTCTGCTTCCTAAGATGGTGGTAAGGGAGATGTGCAGGAATATTGTGCACCATGGGTCTTGTCAGGTCTATAAATGTGTAAAGCAGTCCTCACTTTCTGTAACAACGCAGAGCAAAGCCTAAGTTTGGGAGGAGTGGTTACCCATATATAATGCTTGTGCCACCAGGGAAAGGTCATTTCTAGCTTCCAGAAAGATCCTGTAGGTGAAATGTGACATTGCCTTGTCAGAATTGCTTGCTTTCTGTAAAAGCAAATGAGATGCTGCCAATACTGTGACTGCTGATGCTTTTCCAGGCTGCCACTGGGTGGTAGTAACTGAGCATAAGTTGGTATACTACATCTGTTTTTGGAGTTCCTGTACGCTGTACTTAGCTTTTATATTGTTCAAACTAATAATGAAAATCCACATTGCAGTGTGTGCTGTCTTAAAACGCTTACTTCCTGAAACTTTGTTGGCCTCTTGTACTCTTCAAAAATCATCACTTGCTGGATCAATGTATAATTCTCTACCCCAAAATTCTATTTCTCATCATTCTGCTCTGAGACCTTATTTTGTCTCTTGAAATCTGAGAAGTGCATTTAGACCCCTTTCAAGACAGACTTAATTGCTAGTCTTTGGAAGAGATGACTTTTGGAGAACTAGCTGGTGATACTAGAAATTAATTATTTAAAAAAAAATCCACGTCCTATGCAATGTCCTTACTCTCCATCAACACGGGGAAGACGATCATCTTTGTCACTGGTGTTGGAATGCTGCTGTGTCTTTTTTTCTCGTGTTTGTATTTTGGGGTTGTTCAAATACTGACTCGTTAATTTTTTAACTGAGGCAAAGATTTATAACTTTCAGAGTATAAGAAACAGCCTTAAAGAAGAACAACAACAAAACAAGAAAGATGACTCTAAATTCCTTGAATGCCAGGGATATTGATTTTTGGAGTGAGGGAAGCAAGAAATATATTTGTCCAAGTCTGACCATCTGCTTCTCCACTTTGAAGGCCAGATGTGCTTTTGTTCCTGCTGGGACAGTGGGCCTGTTCCACTGGTGCATGCACAGAACACTGGATCAGATATGATCTTAAATATTATAGATAGCAAATAGTTCTCCAGATTGTAAGCGATCACAGTATTGCAGAACCACCGCATGAGAATGCTCTTAGATAATCACATCCTCAAATACTGTTTTTTTGGGGACTTTGTGGGAAAGGAATGACTTCAAACAAGTTTCAGTGCAGCTGCCTAAGGATATGTCACTTGAATGGTGGCTGTAGTAAAGAAACCTTCCCCCTGCCTTCAGTCTGCAACCTGATATGGTGGGAACTGTCTCTTACAAAGGCAGCAGGCAGACTAATGAGTGTTGAAGGAATCAAATGTCTTTTATAGTTTTTAATGTACTTCTTCCGTTAAAGACAGTTGGTACTTGGATCGGATTTGGCTCAGTTTGCAGAGAGAGAAACACCGTCTGATGCTTGGTTGCTTTTGAGTAAAACTGTTTAAAACTCTATAAGCAGATGTTTGCATCTGATGTGAAGTGTGGTGACAGGTAGCCTGATCAGAGACCTGAGTCAGGAAATCCATGTTGGTGGAGTTACTGGTTTGACTAGACTGAGTCCAAACCCATGTTAGCCCGATTCTTTGTGGAGCAGAGTTTTTAGAACTTGAATATCAGTCGTGCTAACACAAGCAGACATCATCTGGACCTGAATTTGGGTTTATCCATCTCTGAGGGGTCTGTGTGCCCTCTTCCTTTTTGCTTCTCTCTGTAGCCTGGATGAAGTGAGCCCATATGTCTGCCCTGGCAATCTCGGTATGTCGTAAGTGTGGTACATTCTGGCTGCTTTCTGCAAGGGTAGATTATTAGTGAGGTGGCTAACTTACTGTTGATCCTAAAATGATGCAATTGTCGTCTTGTTGTAAATGATTGTATCTTTCTTTGGGTATGAGAAAAGAAACCTAGTATTGGTTACCTGAAGTAAGTACAGCTTTATGTGAAGAATATCCTTTGGGTAGCAAAGCCCTGGCAACAAGCCCTAGGTATCACAGCTTTCTGTAATCTCTAAGTAGATTGGCCTCAGAGACTCTTCTATTTAATGTTTTCTCTCGGTTATGATTATTTACCTCATAGGTGATGATATGACAATGGCTGGAGCAACAGATGGAAAGTACTGAGCTACTTTGAAAGAAACATATGACCTGATAACAGCAAGGGTTTTGAAAGGAGAGATCTTCTGTGGTAGAAGCATCCTTCTTCTTTAGCAGGAGCTTAGATTGTTAGGTGATGGGACATTGAAAACTGTTTGAAAGTCTTTTAGAATTATGTTCTGTTTGAGAATAGAAATCTTGTGCTCCACTTGACACTACTAGGTTCTTTCTGTGTTGCAGAAAGCAAGCTTTCTGGCATTTTCTTCTATTAGTGTGCTAGATAACCCTTTTTTCAAAATTTACCCAGTATCAATCACTGTAATATTCTGTGAGCATAGGGTGGCAGTATTTACCACGTAGTTGTTATAATACTACCCTGCCAACGTTATTTTTTTATTTCTCTTTGAAAGGAACCAGATACATTAAAACAGTAATGGAATTAAGATGCAGTAAAACTTGCACTGGTGTCCTGAGCAAGTCTTATTCTTTCTTCCTTACTTGCTGCCAAAGAAACTGGCTATATGTATCAAAAACAACAGCATTTGATAATAATGTGGTGTAGACTGAGGTTTGTATAATTCTTCTTAACTTAAATAATTGTTTGGAAGCATAACGCTTGCATAACCAATACTTCAAACAAAACAGTTTAAACAGAATAGTCTTGCTGACTTGCATGCAAACTGCTTCCACGGACAAGTGCTCGTTTAATGTAATCTAAAGGCCTAACTCAGCCGTGTTGCTAGAATTATTAGGATCATATCTAAATAAAACTTATCTTATAGGATTGGAATCTAACCTTGCACAACTGCCAAATATTGTTATTAGTGTCACGCTTGTAGTTATCTCTCAGATGGCAAATACAATTTGAAAGCATAGATCAGTGCTTGACTGGTCTTTGTTTGGTTCTCTCCCCCCATCATATTTAGTGCAATCTGTTTATAGAAGGGGCAAACTAATTCTTAGAAAATCCAGGAAATCTTTCTGGCATCCTGAATCTTCATCAATTCTGCCAAGGAATACCTTGGGAGAACTACTGATATAAGAATTTCCCGTACAGACTCTGCAGTGTGGTTAATACGACTCATTTGACTGGTATAAGGCATACATAGCTAATGTGGATCTTTGGTATTATGAGGGATGTTTGCTTATTTGTTTTAGGTGAAGGGCTATATTCCCACAGTTTGTTCCCTGCTGTATGTTTGCATTCCCGTGGAGCTCTTGTTGGAAGAGCAGGGGACAAAATATGCATGAGAAATTGGCACTGTGTGGTGCCCAGCCAGTGGAATTCAACGTTTTCCTATTAGAAACACATCAGCCTACTTCTCAGGAACCATCTGCTTTCCGCCATCCTATAGTCGGAAAGTAAGTTTGGAGAGGTCAGACTAGTTTATTTGATAACAAGAGCTGCAGGACCTCTTCCAAAGATCCACAGCTTGAGAATGCTCTTGCCCCCTCTGTAAACCACAGAGGTTCAGAATATTTATTTGTTATTTTGGTGTGTTTTTCTCTGGGCATTTCAGTTTTACTTCACTGGGATTTGGAGGGTTTTTTTTTTTTTTTAATAAGCCTGTTGTCTTTTGTTGATAGAATTTTGTTCTTAGCTGTGTACAGGGCCCTGGCACCCAAGGGTTTTCTTGCATGGCTGCTCGTAAGCAAAGTTTGCTATGTTGGAATCGGGGAAGTGAAGGCTGCATGCTTTTGTCGGATCCCTTTTGGGAAAAAAGATGTCCTTTAATTGGTGCTCTCCATAAACTGCAGTTGCTGAAGATAATGAGATGCTGTCAGTAAGCAGCTTGAGAGCAGAGAATACACTCACTAAAAAAAAATTACCAATTAAGGTCAGGCAGTCATGTCACTTTAAAAAAAAAAAAAAATTTTCTCCATGTCGTATTGTCGCATCTTCCTCTTCTTACCCACTCTCTTATCTTATTAGCATTCACCTTTAACAGGCTGCCGTGTTAGTTGTTCTGAACTTAGAGCAGTTTTCTCTTGGTGTGTGTGTTTTTTTTGTTTTGTATATATGAGGGGGAAGTGTTGAGGTGATTGTTGAAGATGATAGTGCTAAAAAAAATAATCCCTGAGACAATACTCAGTGAATTTTAACTTGGGAAATACTACTAAAGATAGTAGTGGAATTTAATATACCTATGGTGTGTTACCAGCTTTGATACTAATTATATGCATTATGATTTTTGTTAGGTAGAATGGAAATAACTTCTTCACAGGTGGTGTGCTTATGCTTGTATGAATTCTTGGATATTCTTAATATATATAAAATGTTCTTTGGATAGCGGCTGCTTCAGAAGTGAGAGTATTTTTTTTCTTTATCTAGTTCTGCAAATGCTACTCCTGAATTTGAAGGCCGGGGAGGAGAAGAGCTTGGCACAGAGATAGCAAATACGCTCTACAGAATATTTAGCAGTGAGAGCTGTGTAGACTTGAAATCACTTTGTATTAATCCCCGAGAGCACTGCTGGATTCTCTATGTTGATGTTTTGGTAAGTAAGGAAATAAAAACTAATGAGACTTAAGGAAGTCTTCAAGGGACTGACTGACTTCGCACAACCATGTGTATTTTCATATTAAAAGTGCTTCTCATGTAACGCAACGTAATACTTCACAGCACAGCCATCCTCTTGCGAATTTGCCTAATACAGTTAGTTGCTGCTTCCAGCTTGTTCTTTTGCTCTTCTGCTGGAGGTCGCTGCTCTGCTGCAGAGCTGATTAAAACGCTGAATATTCCAGATCTACCTCAGATCAAAATTGGTGAATTTAGACTGATGAAGAAATTACCACTGAAGAAGGCTAAACTGTTCCAAGCTAGATAGATGCCATGAGTGACTATCTCATTCTATTGCATGTAAGTGAAAATGTATATGTATTAGAGTAACATAACTGTCCATCAGGTCTACCTCTTGGCACTGTTATCAGCACTAACTCAATGAAATAAAACATAAACTTTTCTGACAAGAAGTTTATTTGGCTTACGCACTTTTTGATGGAAGTTACGTGCAAGTATTGAATGTACAAGAGAAACTGAATGTTTATTCCTGTTAAAAAATGGAAAGTAAATTTCATGCGTGCAGACTTTGGGTATGCAGCAGCTCAGTTTCCAAGCAGTGCTGATTTTAAAGCTTTCTGGCACAGGAATTTAAAACAGAAGTTTGGGAGTCAGGCTCTCCTGAGCTTTCTTTCCAGCTTTTACTGGTCCAAAGCTGACTCCCCACTTGTCAAACGTGTAAATGAAAATATGTTGAGGGATCTTACTCAGTAGAATCAAGTAATGTCTCCTGAAGTGATTTGTAAAATGTTAAGCTGCATTGCCAAAAACATTAAATACAGGATTTGTTAAAACAAGAACATTCGGACTGAGGCCTAAATAAATTTGAAAATATGAGTCCATTTGCTTTTTTTTTTTTAAAAGCAGTAGCGTTAGCCTAATAGTAGACTGGCACATACTGTGACATAGTCTGCATACAGAATGATCAAATATGTACTACTGCTGAGTGCTTTAACAGTTCTAGCGACCAGCTTACTGGAGCCTGGCATAGTTTAATAGGGAATGAAGTGCTAGTTCTGAGAAATTGCATTGGGACCTTTAGTTACTAGGTAATTGTGAGCAGAGGTACAGAATATTAAGTGCTGTGCTTATTTAGGCAGTGTACTGCTTCTGCAGTGTAAACAAACAATTTCATAAAATTGACTGTAGACGTAGTTGTATATAACTTTTGCATGACGGAGTACCGCTAATTTGGAGCTCTTGGATTCTTCTTGGACAACGTGTTGGTATCCACAGATACAGAGGAGCAGCCTTGGTCTTTTTACGTTGCTAGCTGTATCAGAATTATGAACATGCATGAAATACCTTTGGTCTTGATTTACATATAGCTTTATTTACAGTACCAGTGAAAAATCTATTGTAGGTTTATAACTAAGACTCTAAACTTGGTGAGTCTTTTTAATGTAACGTTTTGCAATGATTTTGCACATGAGCCGTTGAGGAGCTGCTGGCGTAGTTAGAACGAGACACTTGCTATCTGTCTCTTACTGTTTGTTTTTTTTTTTATCTTTTCTTTTTCCCTAGGTCTTTATTTTCATGTTTTAAGATATTTGTACTGTGTGCTTTCCTAGATTGAAGACACATTACATATACACAAGATACAGGATGTTTATGCTATAGATGGTATAGAGTCTTGATACCTGCAGGTTTTCCTGAATCTGCTCTTCCTAAATACTTGCTCTATTTTAATAGCACATGGTGGAAGTATGACACTTGTGCTAATAAAAAAATATATATATTTTAAACGACCTCCTCCATCTTTTGAGGGAGGAAGGTTCTAAAGGTTACAGTGAAGCTTAATGGGAGTCCTTTGGATGAGGTTTTCCTTCAAAATTCCTGGAGATACCTCACATGAGTGCTTGTGTGCATAGTCAAGTTGAAAGGAAAATTAGGCCTTAAATCTCTGTCCTAAGGCTGAAAATACTGGTATCTTGTATTCGGATAGAAAGATAATTGTTTTCAAATCTCTTATTCTGAAAGACAAAGAGCCCGAAAGAGTGCTGTGAACCTGGATGTATTCCATTGCTATGTATTTTAACCATGCAGTTTCACAGAAGTATCCATATTCAGCTCCTGTGTGTAAACAAAACTTAAGATCTGCAACCTCAAAAGAAAAAATAATATATTCTAAGCAGTCAGACAGCTTATAAATTAAAAACATTTCTCAAATACTCTTTTAGTGGTTAGTGTAATTGAAAGGTTTTAATTGTGTATAGTCATACTGGAACTACTCAGAATGGAAAGAAGATGACTTCAACTGTGCATAAATGCATGGGTTCTTGGGCTCTAGGCTAGTATTCTGCAAAGTACCTTGTGCTTTCAAAATACTTTTTTTTTTTTTTAAATAATAGAAGAGGGGTCACTCTCATAAGAGTAGCTCATGAACGTGGAGTATCTCATACTGCAAAACTATAGTCTGTTATCATCCACTGTCTCCTTCTTCACTCTTCCCCCCCCCCCCTTTTTTTTTTAATAGTTACTGATTTCATAAATAGCTTTTGGGAGTTTTTTTCATCATGTGTTTGACAGAAGCATAGCCTTGTTCACATAAATTGCCCCAGCAGCCTGCCATGTTGAGCAAGGAGAATAAAAGTTGTGCAGTCTCTTTTCGTTCCTCCACCCCCTTACAGCACCCTGTTTGTGTGAGGAGGATCTGTCAGGTTCTGCTGAAATTTTAGCAGTTCCCTGCTGAGCATCCCGCAGAGGGTTTCTGAATCTTTTCTGTTCCCCCCAGTTTGAAAAAAATCTCAGAGAAAGCCCTCTTTTTTGAGGAAAAACTTTATTAAACAAGATGTCTAGAATGTTATTTTCTTTACCTCCAATATTTTTTATATCTGTAGATTAAAAATGAGTCTTTAAAAAAGACTGCCTTTATTCCCACAGCTGAAATAGCTGTGTAGACTTTCTTCATTCCTTTAAAAAAATGGGGAGGGGAACCCCCAAGTACAGTGTGCTTCAGCTGAGAAGAGATTGTTCATTTATTTTTGGAGGAATTGTTGTACCATGCTTCATACAATAGCTCCCTAGCCTGTTGGCGCCACTGCAATATAGATAAGCTTTTGGAATAGCAGCCTGCATATAACCCCAACAGTACAGGCACATCCCATTATTGTGTTTTAATAACAAAGATATTGTGGGTTTATTGCATTATCCAGTAAAATCCAATAACTACTGAAAGGGACAAGTTAACCTTTCTGTATCCAGCAGCTGTTTGCAGAATAATTTGATCACCTTTGTATTTAGCTTTCTATCCCAACTTGTTGTCATACTTCTTACACAAGTCAGTCCATCTTGGTGAAAGTAAACTCCCCCACTGCGAGTAAACCATAAATCAGATATTCCAGGAAGACAGTTTATCTCATTTCCTAAATAGATTTTGAAGAAGAATCAATGCAATCAGTGTTGCAAAACGTATTTTGCTCTCATCGTGTAGAGTAGATAGATGTAACGGAGAAGCATCCATATATTTTTACTGCAATAGGTTCAAGTGCTTGCTGGGGATGTGCGTGTTCGTTGAACAGTACCGGCAGCTCAGAGTGGGGCTTGTCAGACAACTGTCACTTGACTATGGCCAAATACGTTTCTGAGTCATCCATCTTGTAGAAGGTACTGATCGTTATGTGAGTCCTGCCTCTCTATATGGTATGCAGTGCTAGTCCTTTTTCTCTGTTCTTCTCCTGATGTTAAGGTGGGAGCGAGGAACAAGCTAGACTCCCTCCTCAGGCTCGATCCAAAAGACATTGCTACCACAAGTGGACTACGAAATAAGATTTCCTTAGACTTTTTTCAGTTACAAGAGAAACTTGCTGATGAATCCTTTTCCAAAAAAGAATAGAGAATAAATGTGGATGTGCCTTCAAAACCATACCTTGTATAAGTAGCTTCCTTTAACGCTTTATTTAATAATTCCATGCTGTTTACCGGTTGAGAATTTGAATTGTTTCTTTGAGAACAGAGGTATTCGTTGGGCTTGTCCAGGTGATGTTTGAGAAGGTTTCTCTTTGAAATAAAGTACAGAAAGCTGATTTTCTTGATTTGAAGTTAACAAACTAATATCAAGATTATCAAAAAAGATTCTGGTCATAGCCTAGCGCAGAGCCTCAGCACAAGAAAAATGAGAACACTGGCAGTTTCATTTCAGCCTCTGTTAAGTTTTATCATGAATAAGTGCTTTCACCCTTCTATTTTGCATGTACAATGCAGTTAGCTGAAACTGACACGTGTGGCATTTATTTTCATAGATAGGTTTTAAAGACAACTTTAAAAAAATATCGCTATATACATTTTCTGGTTCTTAAACTTACTTGAAAAGGAATAAATTAAGTAAAATAAAAGATTTGATTTAAGTGCTCTAACCTTCTTTTCGAAAGATTATTTTTTTTTTCTCCTCCCCAGTTACTGGAATGTGGTGGGAACCTCTTTGATGCAATCTCTATCGCAGTGAAAGCAGCCCTTTTTAACACAAGGTAAAGCGCATATCTTGTTTCATTTGGGTGGAAGTGGCATAGAGAAGATGAGAGCAGTGTTTTCACAGAATCACAGAATGGTTGAGGTTGGAAGAGACTTCTGGAGATCATCTAGTCCAACCCCCCTGCTCAAGCAGGGTCACCTAGAGCACACTAACTGGGATTGTATACAGATAGCTTTGGCATATCTCCAGGGAAGGAGACTCCACAACCTCTCTGGGCAACCAGGTCCAGCGCTCTGTCACCCTCCCAGTCAAGAAGTTTTTCCTCATGTCCAGATGGACCTTCCTGTGTTTCAGTCTGTGCCCGTTGCCTCTTGTTCTGTCGCTGGGCACCACTGAGGAGAATCTGACTCCATCCTCTTGACACCCTCCCTTCAGATACTTGTACACATTGATCAGATCCCCTCTCAGTCTTCTCTTCTCCAGGCTGAACAGGCCCAACTCTCGCAGCCTTTCTTCAGAGGAGAGATGCTCCGGTCCCTTAATCATCTTTGTAGCCCTTTGTTGGACTCCCTCCAGTAGCTCCATGTCTCTCTTGTATTGTTTTCTGTGAGCCAAGCATTTTTAATGCCGAATTCTTTATGTCATGCTCCTGAATCAGAAGCCCTCTGTCAATACAACTACCAATGTATAACTAGCCCTTACTTCCCACTTCCGATGTTCTTTCTCTGTAACTGTTAGTCCACCGTTCTTTGTAAAACTAAGGGCAAAAAAACGATGGTGGGAGGTTGTGGGGAGGGGGAAGTGATGTGCCTTTAAACTAACTGAAGTCCATGTGTTTTTGGTTCAGAGAATGGAAGAACAAAATCTGGTGGAATCATTGAAGCAAGTGCTCTGTGTGCGTTTCAAGGCTAGCATTCAATGAACTATTTTTCTGATGTTATCTTCATTATAGATGAAAAAGTTCAGAGTTTTGCAGCATCTTTGAGAAAGGAACTAGTGAACGGCTTTGAAAAATCTAATGTAGGAAAAATAGCTGGAAGAGCTGCAAAAATTAGACTGTTACAAGCACAAATGTTCTAAAATGGATCTCAGATTGTTCTGCAGCTGTAAATAGAGCTCTGCTGAAGTCACTGGCATAGTTCTGACTTACTCATCAGGGAATCAGTGCACAGCACTGGAACTGGGAAACAGCATGCCAGAAGGAAGAGGAAAATACACTTTTGAAGACACAGGCAGTATGTCAGGTTATAAACATTTAAATAAATGAGGAGGGAATCCCTCTGAGACTAAAACTTGTGTATATTGCTGAGAAAATTCCCATGTTAGTCAAGTTCTCAACAGTACCTTTTAACAGGATTTTTTTTTCTGTAACATTAAATATTCTCACACATGCAATAGTTCCCAAAGATTTGACAATACGCTAAAGAGGGAAGAAATGCTTACATCTTTGTGTGCAAGCTGCCAGGATGCAAAAGTCATAGTTAAAACAGGTGTTCCCACATGGGTTGTTTTGCAGATCCAAGACACATGCTTTATTTACAAGGTAATTGGACCTCTTTTCTTACTTTAACCAGGATCCTAATTTTGAATAAAAATGAAAGAGTAAATGAAAATTGGAAAATGTTGCTGCTGGAAGACAAACAGCATGGAGACAGTGGTGGTTTTAATTGTTCTGCTTGGATTTTGATTCTTCTGAAAACTGTCCTCCATATAATCTTCAATTTGTGGGCAGACATCCTCAGTCTTGTGAAAGTAGGATAGCAAATCAAAGTGCGGTACAATTTAACATGATGTTAAGCCTGTTGGTTTTGACCTGCAAAAACCCTGAGAATAGCTCATCCTGAAGTACTTTGCTTTGGAGAAAGCAAAAACAAAAAGAAAAATTAACGAGCTCAGAATTTAAAGTGACTTTCAAAGCAAAAAGCTCATGTCCTTATCCACTAACCCCACTTTCCCTTAGTATCTGCTGAATTTTCTTTGGATTAATACAGAGTTGTTTAGAGTAGCTGTCTACTCTTCATAAAATATTATTGTCCAGTTAAGACTTTTCAAAATAATTACATTTTAAAGATTTATAATCAATTTGAGGATCACTTCAGATTAAGTGTTTTGAACTTAGTTTGATCTCTGTGTCCCTCTTTCAGACTTTTACTTGCCTTTGGTAATTTGTTTACAACCGGGTTTTTGTTATAAGGGTTTTCAGATCATTTTTTCTCAGCTTTGACTGCAGCCTTAGAACCAGGAGCAGGGAGTTGAAGCTGCTGAAATTTGTTGTTTTATTTTTCTTTGAAGTCGTAAATTTTTAGTTTCAGAATTCAAACAGGCATTTGAAAAGCCCAGCTTCATCAACTTTGTCCTTAAAATCTAGCTCTTATCACTTTTATAATAGCTATGGAGACGTTCTTCCTTAGGGCTAAATAAATCCACAATAGTAACTTCAGGAACTTTGTGTAGGAATTACAGGATTTAAATCCTTTGTGTGTCTGACCTGACTCATTGTATCCCATTCAGACATGGAACAATCAAAATACGGTTGTTTTAGGGGGAATATTTACTCCTTACAGTTGTTCATTGTTTAACATGCTCTAAAAACTGCGTCAAAACTGTATCTGAGAAGTTGCAGATACCAAGCTTTGTTCTTAACTATGTGTCTCCAAGGTACTTAAGGCTGCATTTATCTGTGATCAAAGTGGATATCGCATAAGTGTGCAAATAGCTACAGTGCCAGGACTAACCATTAAAGTCACTCTTGTGGAACGTGCTTAACTGCAACTGAGGCAACAGAAAGTAGATAAATGTCAAAAGCTATCTAGTTTATAACACAATGGCCTTGAAATGTGGTGCTCTTGCTGGATGGCATGATGAGAGACAGAGCTGATGCTTGCAGGGGTAGAACGGGTTTTGCAGTTGTGAATTCTGGGTTTCCAAGAGCAGTATTTGGCAAATGACTAAAACCCGCTGAAAAATTTTCTACACTGATTCATTGCAGGAGTCAAAAGTGAAGAATAAAAGTTGCAGAATAAACATGTACAGCTAGTTTCTTCTTAAGGTAAATCTTTACAAACTGGGAAGAGAATTCTCAGATTTTCTGGAAGTGCACTTTATGCTACAAACAGTGTCATCTTGGCTCAGTGGGAGCCTTTGTTTTTGTGTGTGTATATACCCCTCTCTTTCTCTGCCACTGCAACACTTGCATCTGCTCAGCTATTTTTCTCCCTGTGCAGTAGCACTAATCCATACCTCTGTCTCTTCCGTTCTTCGCTAAAACAGCTCCGTGCGGAGATATTTTGGGTATTAATTCTGGCAACTTAGCGCACTACTACTTGTTGCAGAGCACACGTTGCTCTGGCTTCTAACAGATTATGTTTCTTGGTCTTCCTCCTAGTTTAAACACTGCTTTGGCTTATATTCTTCTTGTGTAGGCTGTTGTCCAGTGTTGTCCATTGTCTCATGTAGCTTGAGGGTTAGTCACCTTGTGCTATTTTTCCATTAGTTTTAATGGAATATTTTAGCTTAAAATTAGGGTGCTTATATAGCTCTGCAAAGCATTTTGAGTTTCACTTCTTGAAGTATATGATGCAGTTGTGTTCTGCTTGCTGAAAGATTGTACTTACAGCTTGATTTGAGTCAATATTACGTAGAGAATTTATATCTTCTCGCTGAGCCAGGTTAGCTGTTGCGAAGTGCTTGCCTCGAGGACTCTTAGCTGTGAATAACTGAAATACTTTTTCAGGGAACAACAAAAATCTTTGCTTTGGTGAGGAAAAAGGTCATTAAATCACTCCCAGTATTCTCCTCTCTCTTAAGAGAGATGTGGTTCCTGAGTCTAGTTATAACACACAACGCTACTGAAAAGTACTAATATAGAAACAGATTGCGGTCACGTTCCACGTGGTTACTGAAGTTAGCTTTCCAAGGATGTCATGAAGTGTTTAATGTTTTCAAGTGCAAGTGCGTAAAAGTGGGAGAAGTTTGGTTGAGCTCTGTGTGTAGTTTTTTTGTTGGCCAATAATGCAAAGTCTCTCAGTCAGTACTCTTCCTGGTGGACGCCCAGATTACTCTGCAACTCTGACAAGGTCACAACTTGGGGTGGGGAAGGCAAGTCACCATTTTAAAAAAAAAAAAAAATTGAGGGATTATAAGATGCTGAGGTTCTTGGTTCTTGAGATACCATCTCCAGTTAAATAGCTAGCATCATGAATAAAAATATTTCTAAGAAAGCTATATTAAATTCTCATGTACAACTCCCATTCAATGGCTATAACGTGCAGTATAGTTGGCACTGATAAGAAGCCTGTGGAACTTGTTATGAGAGACAAAATCTCTTGCTAATTGACAAGAAAGAGTTTCTTGGATTTTTACCTGGGCTTTTATCCTCAGTCCTTGCGTTTGTATGTCTGGCTGTAGAACAGTAGAGACTTCTGGTGATCTCAAGAATGAGAATATGCTGCTGATCTTCCCAACCTCTAGGGAGAAAGGATTTTGCTAATGTCTTCTCTCTGCTTTTCTTAAGTCTCTGTAGTTAGTGTCATCCTTCCTGAACAGCTTCACTGCTTTTATTTGCTGATGGTGTCATGACTTTGCCAAGTAACGTTAACTGCTGTAATTCTGACAACTTCACTGCTGTCTGCAAGTTTGGGAACCACAGTATGAAAGGATTCAGTTTTGGTAATTTCTCTGCTGTTTTGCCAGGCAAGCATACGCAGAAATATTCAGAATTGCAATGTGCAAGCTCCGAAAGATAACACTGAATCTGTTTATTTGCTCCCTGTGGCATAGTATAGAATTCAGTTCAAATTCTGATGCTTTGAATGATGCATATAGATGGTCTCATTGTGAATATCTTCCCACTTGAGATGTTTTTTCCTAGCCTCAGGGGGTTAAATATTAATACTTTTGATAACATTCCAGGGTATTTTTTCTAACATTTAGCCTTATTTAGAGAAAAGGACACTTCTTGGAGTTGAAACTATAGGATGCCTGTATTCATTATCTGTTCTGAGAGCGATTTTTTGCATGTATTTTTGTTTCCATAGAATACCAAAAGTGCGTGTTTTGGAGGATGAAGAAGGCTCTAAAGAGATTGAGCTCTCTGATGACCCTTATGATTGCATTCGACTTAACGTGGATGAGGTGCCCTGCATTGTCACGCTGAGCAAAGTAAGCCAGACAAAATTTTGACCTTCTACCTAGAGACTTCAGCCTCCATTAGCTCCACCTGATGCTTATTCTTCTTTAGAGATAAAACTTGTATTCCAAAAATGAGAGGTGTCCAATATGTATATATTTGTTCATCCTTTCTGCTATTTTGATTAGAAGGAGCTTTTACTGAATGTGGGTTTTTTCCATTCTGACTTGCAGATTTCCACTTCATGCATTCTTAAAATCTCTTTTTGCATACAGAAGAATTGTTCATTATGTATTCATCCACTCATTGCTCAACATCCAGAGCAGCAGATAATTCAGTACATTACTGCAAATAAGCGTTGTTGTGAGGCACAGAGAGCTTGAGTAATCTGTCTAGAGTCACGGAATGGGCATTTGTTGCTGGGGACAGAACTCAGTTTTCATGAGTGTAGCACTGTCTTTTCCTTTCAAACGGGTGGGGTTTTTTTTTTTTTTGTTTCCATACATAGCACACAGCTAGCAGTCACTTTGCTGGATGCTGCGTTTTGCGTTGTATCAGTTAGTGATTTTCTTGGTCATTTGGAAGTTTGACGTATTTGAAGCAAGTTGCATAAATGGTAGAAAGGCTGTCACTGAAGTGGGGGCTCACCCGAGTTTCTGGCGTATAGTTTTTTCCCGTGGGGAGGAAGGTCCGTGTTTGCAGATTGAGGAAAGGGGAACGCGGAATCTCATGAAAGGGTAGCCGGAAAGGAAAATAGTGTGAAGTAGTGACATGCTTATCTCACTTCGGTTATGTACATACACCCAGTCTGGAGTGAGAAGCTGCTTTTAAGTGCTGTGCTATCTGTCGACTTGGTCTCTGAGCAGCACCGAAGATCACGTGATATTAGGTTGCAGGCTGTAGATCAACTAACAGAGCTACCGCTGACAATTTAACTTCTCAAAAAGAGCTTAGGCAACTGCAGACTAATATGCAATGTTGTCACTAACTTTCAGATCGGGTATAGGCACGTGGTGGATGCTACCCTTCAGGAAGAAGCCTGTTCTTTGGCCAGCCTGCTTATTTCTGTGACCAGTAAAGGTGATCTCACTTGTATGAAGAAAGTTGGAAAAGGTAGTCTTGATCCAGAGAGCATCTTTGAAATGATGGAGGTAAGGAGTTCTGAACAGTTACTATCTTGGACGATACCGAATGAGTCAGAACTTGACTCTAGGAAAAGCTGCGATAAGGACTTTAAGAGCAGAGTTGCTGGCGTTTCATTAGTGCACAAAGGGACTTGTTGAAGGTCCCAGGCAGTTCCTTAAAACAGAATCTCATAGGAAAGGAAGTTACCTAAAACTTTTAAATGCCTGAAATATATCATACTCCATTTACATTCACTGTGGTCAAGTACCTCACAGCTGTAAAACTATAAAGCTTCGGTTGTTAAACTTTTAAGAATTTTTTTAGAGGAAGTTTCCTCCCTCATTTTTTCCCCTGAAAGCAAGAGAAGAGCAAAACCTCTAACATGGAAAAGTCCCTATAGAATTAGAGATGGTACTTCAGGGTGCTAGTACATTGCATTCTGTTGTAGCACAACTCATTTTTCCTGTGATAAGCTTACTGTTCTCATTTTACTATTGTTTTTCTTTGCTTCCTTACTGGGTTTTTGATTTGCTCCTACCCCATGAAAATACTGTTATTTGGCTGTTAGAATTCTCGTGCGGATGTGAACAATTTTAAACATTTCTTCAGGCTGTTCTCAAAACTCTGAATTCCAGTGTAAATTCTCATGCCTGGGCTTGGCCTTAAGCATCAGGCAGAAAAGAGTTTTGAACTTTGAATCAGAATGAAAATTAAATACTTAAAACTGTGTCTGTTTCCTAGAGCTCCAAAACTAATATCAGCATAGCTCTAGTGAGGAATGCAGAAATTGGAAACCAAGTTTAAACCAAGAAATTTAAGCCAAGTTTAAAACAACTGGTTTCAAATGAAATTACACGTTGAGTATATAAGGCACTTAATTGTTTCATGGTGTAAATCCAGAGTGCTAATGTTGATGTTACCAATGGGCTATTTATTTGCATCTAGAGAAGTCGCTTACCCCCACTTAACATCTGGGTAGATGCAGAGGAAGTTTATCTCCAGTCTGGCATCTCCTAAAGAAACCAAACTTGTTTGATATGGACATCTGATATTTGTGTCTTCCTGATGGCTTTTGAGTCTAATTCTAACTAAGTGTCAGAGAGGAGTTCAGGTTTAGGGTGTACGTCTCCTGTGAAGAGATGAGTGCTTAAGTCAGGTAGACAGGTTCGTGGTGGAAGCTCGCTCCCATATAAATTATGTGATAGCTAAGTGAAGAAAAGTTTTGATTAGAGCCTCTACTTCGATCAGCCATCGCACTCCACACTGAGCTCAAACTATGAAACAAACTTCTTTAGTTTCAGAATTCAGGAACTACTTGTAGAGCCCACCCCCAAAGTGTGCACTTGAGACTATACAGTGCTCATCTGAGCACACATCAGAGATGTGTGTACAAGGTAACCACTGAAACCTTCAAACCTTCCTACTGTGCTTAAGAGCTTTAGTGAATTTGTCCCTAATTGTTGATACAAAGAGTTAAAGCTAATAAGGACATCACCCAGTGCGTTGTACTGTTTCTCACCTGCTCTGGAAGATGCGTTCTCTCCTGGGTGGCAAGTAGTTTGCTGAAAGAGCAAAGGAGGAAATCGCATGGAAGAAGCAAAGAGGTTTTGTGGGAGTCAGGAGACCCTGCCTCAAACTCGACTCGTTGACTGGGGAACCAAGAAGAAAAAGAAGCATAGTCAACACCTGGGAATGTCCAGTGAAAGGGATGCATCGCCCTTGCTTGACATCTCCATTCCCTAGTGATTTGGCTGCAGGTTAGAAAGCGTTCAGCTTTGCCTGCCAGGGAGAGGATAGATATCCCAGCTAGGACATGCCTCTTAAGAAAGTAGCTTCATGGGAAGGTTTTGGGAAGCTGCCAAAACTGGGCATTTTACTGGCCTGTATCATTCGTAAGGGAGGCAGGCAGGAGTAAGAGATGGTAACGAGTATTGTGCAATTTGTCAAACTCTGAAGCTTTGTGCAGAGCCCGCTCACCTTGACTGAGTGTGGGTGACATTGTCATACGTTTGAGGAGAAGAATGAGCGAAGTACATCACCCCTCTGGACTCCAGAGTGCTTTTGTGAGCTTTGCCCCATTGCAGAGCTGTAACAGTTCCTGTGTGCACCCCCACTTCCTCAGCATGACTCATGCTGTCTAGGATTGACAGTCAGCTAGTTTTTGATTAGAAATGTATCTTATTTTAAGGTTTGTGCACCTACAGTGTTGAGAATTGTCATCAAAAAGTGACAGACAGCTTTTGTGGGCCTATAGCCGTATGACAGGTGTAGACTTCATTGGACAGATCAGGAGCTAATAAACTGAATTGAATATAATCTGACTTTGTTTTTTAAGGACAAGTGGGCTCTGTTCCTCTCTGTAGAGCGTCAGTACTTCAGGTCATTCAGAGGAACCGCAGGAGAGTTCTAAGGCACCATTGCTTTAAGATCTTTATTTCAGCATTCCCTTGCATTGCTCTTTCCTGCAGCTTCAGCAGCACAATCGTGCATGTGGGAAGAGTAGGGGCTGTCGTCAGAACTAATCCTAGTGGATTTCCACTGCTGGGAGTTTATTTCTGTAAAGAAAACATGCTGCTACCTTCTTTAAGGCCCTCAGACTGTGCAGAATTGCTCATCATAACGAAGAGTCTGGCCCACAGAGACTGATTTGGTGATGCAGCCGGTGTGCGTTTTGGGCTTCTAAGACTGGACTAAAACCTCTGGCAATATGACAAGGTGCAGAGTTCGAGCATGTTCAGAAAAGTTTGAAGTTGGTATCAGTAGGCTTTCTTGCTGGGTCAGGTATCTCTTGTCCTCTGGCAGCTAGCATATCGTTTCATGTTGTGTGTGCTGACTAATTTGAGTGTGTGCTTGTGTCTGATGTGAATTTAACTTGTACTCCTGGGTAATCCAATGGTGCACGGATCTGGTATTAATGATCATGGAATGCTTCTCTGAGGAATGGGAGCACTGCTTTTATGCACACTTTTTTCCCAAAACTTAATCAAATAAAGATGAGACTTCTACCATTATTTTTCTTAATTAAAAAGCATATTTTTAATTATACCAGCTGGTGTGTATTTATCATTAAGGGGAAAATATTTATCAAAAGGAAGTGTTCCATTTGAGTTGTCTTCCTGTTAATAAGCATATGTCTCAGATTTGTTTCTTTTTTTTTTTTTTTTTTTGCAGACGGGAAAGAGAGTAGGCAAGTCATTGCACACATCCCTACAGAAGATTTTGGATGAAGAGGAGAGTTTGGGGACCACACGGCAAAAAGTTGGATTTCTAGGATGAGTTTTTATTAAATATTCAAAAGTGTTTTTAATTGATTGTGCAATCTTGTCCATTTGTATATGGAAAAAGGTTATTTATTCCAGTACCTGTATCCTTCCAACTAAGAGGCTTTTAAAAAGTTACTAAGCATAAGGAAAGCTACATTTTAAATGTGAATAAGCAAATTTGAGATGCTTTCCACATGGATGAGTGCCTGCATGTAGGAAGCACAATACCAGCAATCGATACAATTGCCTGGGAAAGGCTTGAGTCTGTTTTCAAGAGTGGCTGGTGTAAATTCCAGACCAGCTGCTGTGTTTTGGAGCATGCGTGGGGGTGTCCTCAGTGCAGCACAAGCCAGATTTGGGCCTCTCGGGATTTGTTTGTTCACTGGCCACATAATTCTTCCTACCAGGGATAAGAAAATAGCGTCTGGTGGAAGTCTTCCTTCAAATTATCTTATTTCTCTTTGAATAAAATTTGGTTAGGTTTCACTATAAATACAACATGGTCCCAAGTTTCCAATTCCTATTTTAAACCAAGATTTCTTTGCTAGTAGAGCCCTATCTATCCCTTTTGCCAATGGGTACAATAGTAACCTAGCTGAAATCTCACCATGGCCAAGAAGAGAGGCATGGCTAAGGTAGAAGGGAAAATAAGTTCATTCTGAAGGGTTTGGTAATTCAACTGGAAAAGCATAGTGGCTATTAGTAATGATCTTTTACATCCTGTGCTGGACAGCACTGCCACAGAGCTACAGCCTCCTGCTAAATCCTAATCTGTAATGACACAGGAGATACCTGAGAGAATGCAGGTGTTGGCTTTGCTGGGCTGGGGCCAGAATGAAAAGGAAGACAGTTGTATAGGTTGGAATAAGAGGAGTACCCTTGTCCTCCTGCTACGTTTTCACAAAGGCAAATTCCAAATGGATTTCACGAAAGCTAGGAAAGGTGGGAAAAGATGCCACATCACCAGGTTTTCAAAGCAGTAGGTGCCCTGCATCAGTTGGCAGGTGCGGCAAAGAGTAAGAGCTCTTCCTTCTGTGGGATCGGAAGAAACAATGGATGGGAGAGGCTGAAGAAAGTTATTTTTCAAGAAGTTGAATAAGCATTAAGGCAAAAGCCACTGCAGTAATCCAGAAATCATTCAGCTCTTACTCAAGCTGCTTTTTCTCAATTTCCTGTTTTAATTTCCTACTGTCAGATGAAGAAGATTCTGTCAATGGGAATATGTTTGGTGGGGAGAAGAGAAAGTTCTCTGGCAAAGGAGAACTGCAGATCTAGGACAAAACATGGTACAACTTAATAATTGTGATCACATTGAAATATGTGGTGTGCTTCAGACTGCAAAATCTCTTCAGCCCTTTTCTTGCAGCTGGCTAACATAATTGTTCAAGGTGACTGCAGTACTACTGTGTATCTTGGCTATGGGTAGCCACTATATTAAACTGTGTGATGAACAGTCAGTCAGGTTAAAAACTAATAACAATCCATAAAGTTGGGAAAAGATGATATCTGTCTCAAAGGGTTTTTTCAGTACTTTAAGTAATGGGTTACGTAGGATATGGTAGTGCTCTGTAGTAATACAGGCAAGAAGTGACGATGATTATATATAATCATCTTTAAACACTGCAACAGAGTTATTTCACTTGGGGCAAAGACTAACTTAACAGACTTTTACAGTAGTTGTGGTCTGTTCCTTGCCACACAAAGCTACTTGTAAGAGTATAGAAAGAATGAAAGCTGAAGGAAGAAAAAACATACTGTAGCTCAGATTTATCATAGGCAGTTTTTTGTTTGCTCATGTATTGTTTAATAATCCAGAAAATAGTTAATCTAAGTGAGCCCGGGTCTTAAGCCACAGCTGTTCTCTGAGTAGCTGTTGCCTGTTTTACTGTAGATTTGTGCTTAGGTACCAAAAGGCTTCCCAGAGTTTCTGGGGTGAATATTGTAACACGTTGATTAATAATCAGTGTGTTTCTGCATAGCTTTCCAGCTGAAGGATCTCCAGAGGTTTTGTAAGTTAGTGATGGTGTGGTGGCTCTATCATTAACAGATTCGTGTCTCCTCTCAGGGTGTGTGGTTTTTTGTTTTGGGTTTTTTTTTTTTTTAACTTCTAAATTGTAGTATTATGAGAGCTGGGGGGGAAAAAAGCAAAGTCATTTGCTTGCACATGTTTTCAAAGTCATTAACCGACATATCTGAGGAGGTGAATGTGCATACATTCCCTCTATGGTTCTTAGTAGGGAAGGGAAATATTCAGCCCATCTGGGACCTAGGCCATGCGCTGAGGTACCTAAAAAGCAAACTGTTAGTACCTGAGCATCTGTAGTACCTGAGCATCTGTCTCTGCTTTCAACACAGGGAAGCCTGTGGAGCGGCCATGCTTACAAAAATGGTTGCCTCAGTCCCAATATTCTGGGGCCAAAAAGCTTCCTCCATCAGCAGGAGAGCTGTCAGTGCAAATTACCATGTTGCAAATGTCAGCAGTGCCTCCTTTGGCCCTGCATGTCCTCCCACCTGTGCTTCTGTAGGGTATATAAGGAGGCACAGAATGAAGTGGGGGGCGTAAAGGACCTCTTAAAGGTCCTATTCCTTTCACACACTCCCTCACCTCCCATTTAATGGCAGCGAAAAGCAGTGGGATGGAGGCTGACCTCCCTCCCCATTCCCACTGGGGCTGCTGCTACCCCTGAGATGTAAATAACGAGTCTAGCCAAAAACATTACACAGCTTCCAGTTGGTCTCAGCTGCCCCTGGAGATTTGCTGCTACCAACTCATATCCCAAATGGATAAACAAAGCTCTGATAGAGGGAAAAGGGCCTACAGCTATCCCAGTTGATATAACATCTGCCAAGAAATCTTTGAGACTGTGGTTCTCAGGCATGTTAAGGACTATGCTGCCCATTTCTATTTTCTTAGCTCTGTTTAACCCCTCCCTTCCACATCCAAACATAAATAGCGGTTAGAGATTTTAATAGAAGCTTCAACCAAGGCTGCTCCTGTTCCCATTTGGGCTGGTGGAAAGTTCCATGAGTTGCTGTGCAGATATTGCCACGTTTTCATTGACTCGAGTCCAGTAGAACTAAGAGGAAACATCTGTGGAGCAGGATAGCTCAGTGTTTGTCCCAGAAATGTTTAATTGCTCCTGCTGGGAGTGTCGAGTGGCTGAAAGCTGTGTATTAGAGCTTGAGGAGTCCAGCAGCTCCTGCTGGGCTTCTGCTTGTGGTGCCCAGGAAGCACCAAGTTGTAATTTGTCCTTCTTTTTTTTCCCCGTGTATCCCAGGCTAAGGGCTGTTTGACAAGTATGGTTTCCTTGAAGCAGAAGAGGGCTGTGTTGTGGGTTCTTGGATCTGTGGTTTGTTTTCATGTTCTCTAGATCTGTGTTTGCACTGACGGTGATGCTCACCAAGCTAGAGAGCCCAGTTAGCTGCCGTTTGGCAGCTACAGTAGCCATTCGACGTTGTAATGGTTTGGTTTGAGAAGAAAAGGGGAGCTGCTTCTGGCTGGGGGTTTGAAGCAAGGGGGAAGAGAAAGGGTTCATGCCACCTACGTTTATGCTTTTAAAAATTTACTTCACCACAGCCTATTCTACAACCAAGTTTGTAGAAGCTAGAGCTCTCTTTTGTGGCTCCCTGGGGATTTGAGTGTGCAAGTCTCTCTTTTTTTTTTTTTTTTTTTTTTTGGAGGGACTCAGCATCTTGATTTGACATAGATAATATCTCATGGAGTTTCTGCTTCTTCTCTGTAGTAATATAAGTAGGAATTAACTGAGACTTATACCTTCATTTAGGGCTGCCTCCAGTTTTTCTATTAAATTTCAGCAGACACCACCACTTTCTTCAGCAGTGGGATATTCTGCAAGCCCTGCCATGATACTGGTTTACTTTGCCTGTGATAAGCAACCACTGGGCCCCAGAGAGGGGGAAAAGTCAGTGTGACTCTGACTGGTGAGAGCTGGGAGGAGAGCCCCAGAGCCTTGTACGCTGCTTTTTAAAAAATGTCTATTGAGTAAAGCACAAGAGTAGGCCTGGAAGTGGAACTGGAACTCTTCAGTTGTCAACCTCTGTGCTATTCCCTCCAGCTCCCAAACCTCTTGTCTCCTAGTATGCTCCTGTCTGTCTGTACTCCCTGCTGCTGTAGCCAGCTATTCCCACTAAGGCAAAATGTGGATACTTGTGTTCGCTGTGCCTCGCAGAGGCAGGTTTCACTGGCCTAGCTCCCCACGGTGCTGTAAGGGAGGCAGGTGCCTGGTGCCAGTTTCAGGATTGCGCTTTTAATCCCCAGTCCCTCAAGTCCTTTCTCTTTGGTCGAGCCTGGGACTCCCAGGCAGAAGGGTGCTCATTCACAGGCCTGACTTCACGCACTGAATGCTTGGTGTTTACTGAAGTAAATGGGGATTTTCTGCTGCTCACTTTCTAAACCAAAGTCTCTCTTCACAATGACCAAGTCAGAAATGAGTGAAATCCAGGGCTGTGGCTAGGCATAACCCCATGGAAATCCCAGAACTAGATGGGATATGGCTTTACTTTTCATACTTACAGAGCTATGTTGCCTAGAGGACCTAAGAACTGTGAATCAGGTCTGCCGTTAAGATGATGGGAGCAGTGCCTCAGGTCATGCATGCCTGCTGTCTTGCTTGCCATAGTTGTGCTCCAGAGAATGGCTAAGTGTGTCTGAAAACACAAACGATGGTTAAACTAGGTCTCTGCAGAGGGTGGCTGCTAGAGGCATGTGACGCAATGGTTAGTATTTCCGGCTCTTGACAGATACTTTGCCAGGACCAGGCATAATGCTTTAAAGAGAAGGAAGTCACTGGGAGCCTCTTTTCCCCACAGCCCTGGCATGGTACAGAAGTGACCACTACCAGCACTGACTGGCTGCAGTCTTCAAGGAAACAGCCAAGTGCAACTCTTACACACGCATCAACAGCACCAGTGAAGCAACAGTCGTGTGAGCTTTGCACTGCCATGGGCTGGAGCCCAGACCGCAGTCGCTGCGGGATGTTGCTGACTCCGGACAGCAGCCATTGCACTGCGCTCATCCTTCGGA